GAGAGTGGCTGTGTCGTGGCAGGTTCCGAAGGCTGCTCCTCGCCCAGTTGCTGTCGCCAGCAAGGCGGCTTTCTGGAAGCGCCCATGGTTCGTGCTGTTTGATCACCATGGGCCTGATTATTTACTGGAAGCTTCCTGGCGTAAATGTGCCTTGCAAACAACTCCAAACTCGACAGATCCCAAGTTGGCTGGGTCACAGCGAAACGTATTTAGTTAACAAGAGCCTCATGATGAAAACATGGAGATCCTCGCAGAATTGGCAGACTTCCAAGCTCATTTACTCTGACCCTTGCAAGCAGATCTGCAAGCCCCTATCCCTTACTTGCATCTGGAAGCCACACCTGAAGCAGGCCATGGCCGTTCCCAGCTCTGCTGCCGCCAAGGCCGCATCTCCAGCCTAAGGGCTCCGGACCGGGGCCGGAGCGGCCCTGCACGTTTGCGGGCAGTTTTAGTCGAATAGTTGAAGTAGTTTCGGGGATGCGTGATTTGGAGAAACCCTCATTGCGGTTCAGTTTGCAGACAGTACAGTATGAGTGATTTGGAGAGCGCATGCCGCGCAACAAGTTCCACTGTCTCAACTTCACGGGCATGACCCTGCAAGGAAGTGAGGCCAAGGAGGCGGTGCCTAAGAAACCCTGTAACCTATACTCGTATTTCACCCTCCTCCCGCAAGGCATTCTATGGCCCTTTGTTGTGTTGTGTGGTAGTTTGTTATTGGTACTGCAAGGCTGCTCCTGCCGGCGCGGCTCCTTCCGCTACGGCCACTTCTGCCAGCTCCACTCCTGCAGCTCCGCCGACCTCGGCAGCAGCGATTGTGCAGGAGACTTTCTAGTCACCCGCAAGTCGACACGACAAACTCCAAGAGCAGCTCGAGGGCTTGTTGCAAGGTTCAAGGTTCTTTACATAGATGGGCAAGTGGGCATCGAACTTCGGCTTGCAGAGCTGAGGCATTTCAGCAGGCTGCCTCAGCAAATTTAGCAAGACTTCTGTGCAGTAAAGACTTCTGTACTGGTGGCTGGAGGAGGGAAAGAAGCCCATTTCCGCCGCTGATCGGCTTGGAGCAACTGGATCCTCGCTGTCCCGAGGCCATCCTGAGATGTTCAGAAACCATCATGCGCACACCCATGCGCCGGACTGCGGTGTGTAGGAACTGGCTCTTCAGAGCTTGAACACCCTTCAAAATCTGAACCACGGGGGGAAGCCAGGAGGCTACGCACCGTCATACCTTTGCTGGCAGGCGTGGGAGCCAAGGCCGAAGCAGCAGCCCCCAAGGCCAAGGCCGGAGACACTGTTGGGAGAAAAGTTTAGGATCAAGCTCCATCAGCAGAGCATCGTACTCCATCACAGCATTTTTTGGTCAAGATGCTGCCATGTCATGTGACCTGTCAGATATCATCAGTACCGCATGCCCACCTCCTTGCGCTCTTTCACACTACCCGGATGACTGACGGAAGCCAAGCACCCTGTGAAGGCCAAGGCCATGGGAGCTCCGACTGCGGGAGCCACGCCTCCGATGCGCTACATGGCCAGTGGCACCGGCGCTACCAGTGCATCCGCGGGTCCTAGCCAGGCCGCCCCCCGCACTGTCTGGGCCCTAGCTTTGCGTTTTCCTGGTGCAGCCGCTATGGAATCGAACTCTAGCCGAAACGAGCGAAACGAGAACGGCCATCAGTTGAAAAGCCTCCACGAGGTGTTGAATATCGTCAGCGGTAAGCCCACGCTGCCCACGCAGCCTCAGAACGTGGCAACCAGCTCTGTGGGTCCTGCGCGGGGCTACGCGAAGGCCGCACGTCACATTCCCATTGCTGCGAGACATTCCTTCATTCATACCTGAAACGCATGAACAAGCCAGTGTCTTAGTCGCCCCAGTTGCCGTGTGACTCTTTGAACACAGGCTGCCAGCCCCATGCTCACTGGAGATGCTCCCAAGGCCGGCAGTTGCAGCTGAAAGTTGTTGGCAAACGTATATTGCTCTGCAGTCATGCCGCCCCGTAAGTCCAAGTGTTACTGCCTTTGGTACGCGAACACCTGATGTGCAAATAGGTCGGACCTCCTGCGGTGGCCGTTGGTCGCGCCATGGCCGAGGTCTGAACGCTTGCTGCCGCTTAAACATTTGCTCCTCCTATGCAGTCGTAAATAGGCTGTTGCCGGCCCAGAGCTGAACCTCCGTATTTGTACACTTCCATCCCTTGTCTGCTTCGAGCTGTTAGTGTGAGCAGCCCGCGTAAGACTTCAGGTGATGCGTGAGTCCAACGTAAGGACATGTAAGGACATGAATACGGGACTGAACCGTTGAGGTATGTAAAAGTGAGCAGTAGTATGACTTCGCATCCACCAGAGATCAGCAGAGAAGACAGGGCCGTGGCAGTGTGACCCGCGACGCCAACGGCAAGCTCCGCGCACCCATCGGAAAGAAGTACCAGCCGCTGGGCTCCTCCCAAAAGATCCCAAAAGTGCCGAATGTGGTCTCCGGTCTCAGATGGCTCTGTTGAACTCGTTTGCAACAGCTTGGATTCGGCTACCCTGGGGGCTTTGCAAGCCAAGGATCGTCTTCGTCACAGGTGAGGTTGCGCCCTTCTCTAAGACTGGAGGCCGGCTCATGTGGTCAATTGTAGAGGGTCTTTTTCGTTGAGACGAAGGGAGTGCAATGAGTGCAGCGCGAAGAAGCCCGGAAAAGAAGCTGTTTCTTTTGCCAGGACTCGGTGAGGCCATGGACGGCCTGCCCATCGCGCTGGCGGCACTCGGCCATCGCTGCATGGTGGTCTCGCCGCGTGCCTTGGCAGGAGATCGAAGGAGATCGAAGGCACAGTGTGGGGATGTGTTGGGGGAGGGACCTTGCGGCGATATGCAGCACCGTGAGTTGTTGGGGTGACTGCAATGAGGTTACGACCAGTACAAGGAGGCCTGGGACACTGGCTACTGGTCGTCCGTGCCCATGGGCGGCAAGCAGGACCTGCTGCGAGCTTCGGCTGGTCAGCAAGCCTTCTCGCCCGTTGAAGCTGGCAGGAGTCTGTGCACTTTTTCCACACCTTCAAGCAGAAGGCCAAAGCAAAAGGGTTAGCCCTCAACCAGATCGTGCCGCGGGCACGGGTGCCTGGAAGGTTGACTATGTCTTCGTGGACCATCCAACCTTCTTGGAGCGCGTTGATGGCCTGACAGGCCGGGTCAGCATGCACGGCATTGTTTCTGACTTGCTCCCAAAGAGGTTCCAAGCTCTACGGACCGGAGTGGGGCAAGGACCGATTCTTTTGCCCGGATGCACCTGAGATCACCTGAGTAGATGCCGCGCACCTCGTTTCGAGGACTTTGCCGACAACCAGGCCCGCTTTGCCTACTTCGGCAAGGCGGCGCTGAAGGCCATCCAGGACTGATTGGGCTGACTGAACTGACAAACGGGCGAGATGCCCCGGGTTCAGACCTGGCACGCTCACTGCTTGCAACAGCGTCGCTCAAGCGCTCGTGGAGGAGCTGCCTCTGGGCGGAGGTGTGCTGCAGACTCAGTATGCCGCGCCGCCCCGGTGTTGAGCTCCGCAAGTGCAGATGTCCCAGGTATGGTGGCGACGTCATGGTTGTGTGCAACGACTGGCACAGCGCCCTAGTGCCCATGTTCATCCACGCGGAGAAGTCCGCGAACCCAGGCAGGTCTTACTGTTGTACCCGCATACCATTGTCCGCCCAAACCTGATGCAACTGCTGCGGTTGTACAAGGTGGCTGCAGTTCACAATCCGAAGGAGTCGCTTGTAGTCCTCTGCAGTGGGCTGCAGGCAAATGGTACAACACGAAGACCGCCTTCCTTTGCCACAACGCCGTCTTCCAGGGCCGCTTCCCTTGCGAGGAAGGCCGCGCTGTGCTGTTCTTGGTTCTTGCTTCTTGTGGGCCGTCTTGCTGTGCAGCACGGAATTGAATCGTACTTCCGTGCTTTGTGCCGCACTGTGCGAAAGGCCTTGCACAGATCTTCGGCGTCCCTCAGCGCTACATTGACGGCATTACCTTCAAGCAGCCCCTGCGCATCGGCAAGTACAACGAGAAGGCGACAGCGGCTGGGCTGCTGCGCAGGGCTTCGCATTGCCGCATACTGTACGCTGTTCACCACCCTGCGTGGAGCTGAGCAGGTCTCGTGCATCAACACCATGGCTGCTGGTCTTCGCTACTCGGATCGCGCCGGCGGCACAGTACCGTGTTGATCATATTGATCATTCCTGATCATCATCTTGCATCTTGATGACGGCCTATGACGGCCTGTGTTCTTTCCTTCTGAGGCCTTGACCGTGTCCCCGACCTATGCCCAAGAGGTTACCACCGACCCGGAGAAGGGCGTGGAGCTGGAGCAGCTCTTCAAGATGGCGAAGTGCACAGGACTTCTGTAATCCGGGCCTGTCACTGGGTGATTGCATGTGGTTGCAGGAATTCTGAACGGCGTCAAGGAGGGTGTCTCACCAAGTGAGATGAACTTCGTCACCAAGACGATGATGAGCTGTGGACCGTTCACTGTAGGGACCCCGGCTGGCCTCTAGCTGACTCGATAGCTGTTTTGCCCCGCATCATTTGCTTCCTACAGCAGTCAAAGCGTTTTGAGGCCGCCACTGCGGACGCAGCCAAGACGGAGTTGAAGGCTTGCAGAGTTTCGCCTTGACTCCAACGCGATGCTCTGACCCATCTGCTTTGCGCTTTGCGCCTGGCAGAACCTCTACCGTCAGCAGAACAACCTCGTCGCGTCCAAGGGCCCCCTGATGTGCTTCATCGGAAGGCGGGCTTGCCAAGCATACAGGCATGCAGTGCGCTGCCTGACACTTCCCTTTGGCAGCTCGTCTCAGGTTGGATGCGCAGAAGGGCTACGATCTCCTGCTCGAGTCGCTGATGGAGGTGTTGGAGGCCTTACAAGATCTTACATGTACCTTCAGCGAGCAACAACCTCAACATATCTCCAAATCTTTCAGCCTCCTCCTGCCTCTCGCTGATCTCCTGCTCCCGCTTCCGCTCCTTTAT